ACTAAACCGAGTCACCGGTGGGATCCTGATCGCTATGTTCGCCCTCTATATTATCTCCATTGGTTATGCAATTTATAAGGGTATAAGCGAACCGCCTGAGATGTCGGATAGCGACAGCGATGAGGAAGTACCCACGACTGATGAGGAGCGACTAATAGGCCGGGCCGGCTGGTCGTCAGCTTCAGAGAGCTCTCCTCTCTTACCAAATACGAATCCACCACAGGAGGATAACAGAAAACTCCCACAGCCACTTTATCAACATGTCTTGCAACTCTTCTTTGGTCTGCTTGCACTCTCTTTATCGGGATATATTCTCGCCCACAGCGCAGGTGCCATCGCTGATTCCCTCCAGCTGTCGGGCACCGTCTTTGGCCTGACAGTAATTGCCTTTGCTACAACCCTACCGGAAAAGTTAATTTGTGTACTTAGCGGCTTGCGCGGACAAGGAGGGATTGTTGTTGCGACCACAGCAGGGAGTAACATATTCCTGCTCACGCTCTGCGTCGGTGTTGTTGCCGTTGCAGGAGGTCCCGTCGATCAGTCGGATACATTTGTTCTTTTTGACCTAGTGATAGTCTGGATGTCCGCGTTATGCTTTGCAACGGTCGTCTTTCTTGGAGCTTGTCGGATTGCTGGTCTAGTGCTTCTCGCTGCATATATAGTGTTCTTGATCCTTGAGTTCACGGTGTACAAACGATGAACAATGGCACCCCTGATCTTTAATGCTTTTTTTTATAGTCTCAGATTGTTTATGTATTTACAGGATTAAACAGTGTGGGTCCCCGTCTTGATGTGATTGATTTTCCGGATGACAGTCCATCACCAAATTTATGATAGGGTAAAGCCGTCCACGTTCACCGAATCAATCGATCAATCGCACCTTCCCCACTGTACTACCTAGTGTAGCCATTGCATTGATTGGCTTATGCAGGCAAACACCACACGTGCATCCTCTGACCCCTAATCGAAAATACAAGTTTAACTTTTCGTTCAGTCTGTTCCGTTTCAGGGCCACAGCGTGCGAAGCGCGCGTTACCAGTGTAATACTGTTCTTGGAAATCAGCTAACCAAAAATTATGTCATAAGAGCTGGGTCGTAGCCGCAGTTGACAGCAATGGCCAGCTAGTGGCCAGAGCAGGCGGCCCTCCATGTCTGGGCTTTTACAGTCTAGCCATCGCTTCGTTAGCGGCTCGTAAAAGCGCCCCACAGATGGTAAAAAACGCACATTTCTCTCACAACTTGCCGCCGAAATGCCACGGATCAGTCGCTCTTTCATACAACGGCAGGCGTTCTTTAGCCTTGGAATATATCCAAAGCTCGCGCTGACCATTAGTAGCAGCACGAATTTAGCGAAATTTACTCAGTCGAGCTTGAGACTTTTCCCGCTAAGATGCCCTGCTATCAAGCAATCCACCATGTGCTGTATAGTGCCTGACAGTTGGCTTGACTAATGCATTGTCATAGCATGCTGTTGGGTATCACTTTCAGTGTTAGAAGTGAATGAGATATCTTTTAGAAATATGGCAGTACATAGAGTGGTTATGTATCGGAAAACATGCGATCGACCGGTGTATATTTGTGGAATCAAATGAGTAGATACAAAGCCACATCAGGACCAGCGAAAATTTGCTTCACTTTTCAAATATACACTTATGGCAAGACGCTGTGTATATTACATTAGCACACTCATGATAACCAAGATTAGACCAGTAACGATTCCTGGCATATTGAGTTTGTTGACCCAAGCACTGCCTGTCCTGCTTGGCGATGAAATTGAAGAATTCTGGCTTGGGTTCGTCTTGGATGTGTTGGGAGGTGCAGATCCGACTAAGCCTGGGAGCTGGTCCTGCCCTTCAACTAACACCAACGCCATTCCACTCTAGATGAAGTGATCAGCGACCAAGTTCCCTGGTCAAGGTAGAATAATGGAGGGGCAAATCAAGCTTACCACAATGTGCCACTGAAAATGGCAATGAAGAAGCCATGCTCCGGGGTTATCTGTGATGTAACTACATTAACGTCAGTAACTGAACGGCGCGATACCTTCCCCCAAAAAAAGTCTTCCTTTCAATGTGAGTCGACTTACCGAACTGCTAACCATCCTGACGGTGGCAGATCTGTGGTGTCCCGATAGGGCGGGTTTTCAAGGTTGATTACAGAAGATGGAGCATCAGTGAGGGATCGATACGGGAAAGTCCCAGTCCCTGAGCCTAGTACCCAGAACTTGTGGCCGTGAAGATGCATTGGGTGACCCATCTGGAGAACACATCAGCTTTGATAAGGTATCGACAGAATTTGACACGGCGCAAGAGCCATGAAATACATACAGCGTCCATCGAGCCATTCGCAACGCTCATCACGATATCAACCGTTGAGTTCGATGGCATGTGGAGCGTCGTGTTTGCCTGCCAAGCATCGGATACATTGCCGTATATGACTGGGATTTTGGGTTCGGAGTACGGATACCGGTCCACAACCCAGGTTACAATATCCGTTTGATTAATCTCGAAAAGGCGAGTAACATCTGCGGCTTTGGGTGGTGGTTTGTTACCTTCGAAAGGGGACAGCTTGCTTTCAACGAGTTCAGTGTTCCTATGTTTGGCCGAGCCATTCGTGAACATCCAACTGGACGTGGAATCGAAGGAAACGTCTGCAGTAGCTGTGAATTTCGCATCTGACTGTAGTAGATCTCATATTAGTTTGTATATAAGATGGACTAAGGCCATTGCCTGCTTACAATGTAGGATACTATGGCTTGGCCTTCAAGAACCTGCTGCATATCTCCACTTGGATAAGTAGCGAACCGAAGATAGTAGCTCGCTTCGGGCTGATCAAGCTTGATCATGACGGAATATCGCTGACCAATGGCGATTGGTAGGACCTATGGCAATCAGCAGAAGGTCGGCAAGCAGGCTTTTTTAGCTTACTTTAACTTCTTGTGGGGTTACATAAAGACCATCCGCAGCATACACCAACATTGAATGAGCGTCGAGGGATACCCTGATAGCGCTGACCGCTCCAGAATTGACGAGGTTGAGCGCAAGCCATCCCTGCGAGCTCTTTGCAGGGATTTTCAGTTGGCGAGCCGTCGTGTTCACACAAGTTTCTGATGGCAGAGAGCTCACGTTGTATCCATTTCGGAACATCATGGGTGGGGTGCATCCACGAGGGCCGAGTGACTTCATGGGCTGAGCCATGCCCGTAGAACCGGCCATACTTACCATATCCGTCGTAGCCATCGTGGGGTGAGAGGACTCAGTGAGACTCATGATTGGCATGGACGGCTGATCTTCCATGGACATCGTATCAGGCATACTATCCATCATCCTCTTCATCATTCCAGACATATCCATGCCCACTGAACTCGACATGGAAGCGGGTGTAGTATTAGCCACCCCACTGGTAGCTGCTGCCAGGCCCAGACCAGGTCCAGCGTCAAGGATATATTCAGGCAGACATTCTACCCGGCCAAGCCCATTCGCAAGTATGCTATCAACGCAATGCGGGAAGGCCCCAGTTTCAAAATATCGTGCGTATATGGTGTCCGAGAGCTCATGTGTCCAGTCGTTCAGAATCACTGAGGTAGCATTGCGCTCAGCTTCCAACATGGCGTCCCGCTCGTCTCCGTTAGAGGCGAGATTCTCAAACGGTCGGCGACGTGAAGATGACGGGCGGATCAACAAGGGCCCTCGTATGGCATCATTATAATAAGCGCGGAAATGAGAATGGTACCAGAAGAAGCCGTATTCATTTCCCACAGAGAACCGGTACGTAAAATTACCTCCTGGTGATATAGGATACTGTTCTCGTGTGTTGGTCATCTATTTCGCGGATTTGGTAGCAACTGGAAGAGACTCACCTGTGTAACACCTGGGACACCATCCATTTTGGGTGATCCGCGCTGTAAAAGGCCTGTTGCAGAATCTATCAGTAAAAAGCTTGGAGGAAATGCTGCTTTGAGCGCTGGAATGGACTATATCTACTAACCATGCCAGTGGATGGTGGTTTCAACCGGCAACTCGTTTTGAACGAAAACTTCTAGGTCATCCCCCTCTTCAACATCAATCATTGGCCCAGGCTGTTGCCCGTTGATGAGATAGACCTCTCGGGGAAAGCCATCTTTTCGCGGAAGACGTCAGCTTGTGACCCCGGGAGATAATGTTTTCGACATACCTGGACTGCGTTGGGCACTATGTAGTGTAAAATGATACGTGCGCAGTGTCGCCTGAACATGCCGCGTGCTTAAAAGAAAGAACGCGAGCCAGACTTGGAATGTAAGAACCGACATCTCGATATTGGCGAATGGTGTGTGATATGCCGAGCTTATAGAGAGAATGATAACAATCTCTCGCATGATCCCTTTTTAGATGAGTGGTTTTCGCGGGTTTTAGCGTAACCTTGGCGCTACTCCTCCAGGTCGGGAAGGTAACTTGGTAACCAATCAAGTAACCAACCATGGCAGGGTCGTCTGCATTCGTAACACTTATTAACCGGGTGATCGTGGGGTCCTGAAGGACATTGGCGACGATGTAGATATGACGATTGCCAGAATAATGACATCGTAATTACGACCGTCAAAGATCTAAGATGATTACATAAACGTTACCTAAAGCACAGACCTCTTCTATGATTAAGCGCCCAAGAAAGCTCACAAGGCGCGTAAAAACCATTCTTAACTTCCTGTAGGCGGACCTATGTCTGCGTGCATATTGGCCATGTATATCCATTTGTGCCAAACTGGCCTGACTGATTTAAAGGTATGGAATTCCTCTTCCTTTTGTTGAGAGGGTACAACAATGACTGAAATGCCAGTGTCACGGTTGCATCGACTAATCTGCGTCGCAATAACCTAGATGTCTCCTAAAATAACGCTCTCCCGAATAGAGGATTTATTTGATAGATACTGTGCACATTTCCTTCCCGTTTCTCAACTTTCTTGTGCAGTCTACAGCTGCCTTTGAAAGGCATTAGCATCGGTTCCTGCCAGATTCGGAATTTTATCAATGTCGACGGACTTCAGATTGCTCGTTGCTAGAGGCTGCATGGGTCGTATCACCGTCGGAAAAAAGAGTGATGTGACTCGGATCTGATTCGGAGTCGTCACTACGGCTGGCCAATCCGTAGGCGTCGTTATTGGGTGCACCATCAATGGTGAGAAATGGCAAAAATTCATCTACTTCCGGGATATCGTCCGACAAGGGGGCGAGATCAGGAAAGCCGAAATAGGGGTCAAAAAAGCTCGCATACGATAGAGGCTGACTATAAGAAGTTGAGTAGGATTTTGCACCAGACTCATTGAAGGTGGGCCAATCCATCCAAGGAGCACTCCGAATCGCGGGGTGCAGAAGTGCATCATGTTCCTGTGAGACCGCAAGATAGCGGTCGAATTGGTTGTCGAACCGCTTGTTTGGTTGCCCTCTGAAGGGCAAATTTTCAGTCTGCGAAAGGCTCGCGGTACTAAATATGGAACATGGATCCATGTTTGGTGGGGAACTCGGATTGTTGCTCTGGTCGAGAGGCTGTACTGAAGCCATATGTATGAAGTCATTCTCGAAGTTAACGCGGGGAGTACTCTGAGTTCTAGAGATACCCTCGATGTGCGCCGAAATCTCGTCGTTGACGGACACATTTTGTTCCGACGGAAGCAGATGGTCCAGCGAGCGACAAGCCACGTATGAAGGCGAGTGGCTGATGTGAGTCCGGGAATTGATGTTGGGTATTTCACCGTTGGGAGCCATATCATTACGCTTGTGTGCAGGATCGTCGTGGTCGGCCTTTGATATCGCCAGGGTTCTCTCAGACTGAATTGGAGTGAGCCGAGGCTTACGCAGCTCCGTTATCGTCGGTTGTGACATGGAGACACAGGCCTGGGGTATGTCCTGGGGTATGTCCTGGGGTACGTTATCGTGATGATAGTCTTTCTTTGAGGCGCACTTGCAAGGTTGGCCATGAGAGCAGCAGCAACGTTGGTGGTGATCTACTGTTCCTTGGGTTAGAATTCAATCCACACCGGGGTTCCCCAATTCGTTGCTCACAGATAGAAACTTATTCCCCCGTCGCATAGCAGTCCCCCTCACTGTGCGCCTTTTCTTTATCACCACATTCACATTTGACATGGGTTGATCGAGACTTTCGAAGGCCCCGGCAATGCGCGCACTGTGAGACTGGGCGCCCTTTCTTTTTGATATGCAGCAGAGGATTATCTGCCTCACGTCAGCCATAGACCATAAACAGTGGTCGGCAACCCGAAGCCGAGAATGACATACCGCTGTGCTGGCAGCTGTTTGCACGATGACCTCGTGCACAGGCCCTGCACGCCCACTTCTCTCCTTGAATCAGCATCGCCGCAGTCACTGGGACAGCAATATCCGAACATGCAAAAGCGCAGAAAGAGGAACAAAGTAGCCATAGGATTTAACAATATAGACAGTAAAATAGAAAATTTATAAAGCAGTGGAATGGAAAAGACAAAACGTCGATTTGGATGGTTTTCAGGGTGGACGGAGGTCATCGGCGGCTGACGAGTCAACCGGTGGAGACACCAGCGGCCAGCCAATGGTGTGGCGGTAGAAGAATGGGACCGGGAGGCATGGACATGGGATGGGGCACGCACTATCTCCAGACTTACAACGAGCTATAATGCTTGCTATTTTGCATCTTCTACTAATTATATATGGCCTCGATCACACTTGTTTGAGTTCCTTGCGTGATAAAAGCCCAAGATTAACCCGTGACTAGGTAGCTAGCTTAGGGAGATCCCAGCCTGGGATTTCCAGGTTGTGACACCTGGTTTATTTTCGGTGGGCATGACTTTTGCGAGGCAAGATGATTACACCACCGGTACCTAAAGCACAGACCCATTTTTATGATGACTAGATTTTATTGTACTTAATATCTAACCAGGGTTGAGCGCCCAAGCAACACGGACAGAAGCAATAAAGTTCAGCAAGCTCACAAGGCGCGTAGAATCGGGTTTAAACATTTCCGAAGACTCGAGAGGAGCTAAGTACGCACAAATCCCGCAACTGTTGCCACTGACATTGGGGTATAATAACGATCTGAAATCTTGAGACATTATTAATCTAATTGAGAATACCAGGCGTCCTGCTCTCCCTCCGCGTCTATACAATTTGACTGTTAAGGTCTTATCATACCAACGTTTGATACTTCAACCTCACACAGCAATGCCATCATCATTTTACCCTCGGGTCCTAGATTTCCAAGCTGCCGGTTATCCGCCAACTTATACAGAATTTCTGGTCCAGCTCTCTGTGGTGCAGTGAAAAGTATAATTCTAATGGTCGACAGATCGCTGTTAATACCCTCCTGCTATGCGGCTCTCTTATTATTTTCGGGCTTCACTGCCTCATATACGGCCCCTTAGATCCTGCAGAAAGTGAAGAGCTATATGCAAGGTTTGTTCCAGCTACCCTAGAGTCCATTATGACAGTGATTATGCTCGACATTGATATCGACGTGGAAATGCTATTATTGTTTACCGCACTACTAGCGGGGAGGATGTGGGTATGGATAGGAGAGTGGAGGGTTGAGTCGCTCCGTCAAGAACGAAATACACGAATGCGCACCTATATCTGGGTGTTAATTGCAGTCTTATTATCTCTAACTTTCGAGATCTTCATGTCGTGTCGCATGTTCTACGCCACACAGCGTGCCACCGATGCAAAGATTGTTACTATGTTTGGATTCGAACATGCAATCTTGTCGGTATCGGCTGTGTCAACAACGCTGTCCTTTTTTGGCTACTTAGGGAGGCTTCCACGAGAAATCCCTTACAATCAACGCAGGGCACACGGATAGCGATCACGGGCGGAATTGGCACATCAACAGACACGGATATGTCGACTGAAAATAACGGTGGTTGTCCAGACATTGCAACCGAAGAACGAAAGGACAAAAGGCGATGGAATTTTTCTCTGGATGTGACAGCAGGTACGTAAAAATAATTGCCACATTCAATTAACCGATCAACTACATTTCAGAATTTGGCCTTGCTAATAAGTTTGTAGAGTGCGCAGCATTATCTATCAGCCTAGCGTACCTTTTTGTCTGCCTTGCCTCCTATAATCGTCCTGTTATCACTAGCCATATATTTGCCACTTCCCTCTCGCTCATAACGCGCTTACGTGATTTTTTTAACTATCAATGGGCTCTTCAAGAAATCAATGAACGATATTCCGATGCTACCGCTGAAGAGATAGCCGAGGCAAAGTGTGCTATCTGTTATGAGGGTATGTGGCCGTGGGAGCAAGTCTACGCTGCGGAAGGACTTAGTTCGACCAACGAGAGAGCGAAACCGGGATATACACAAGCCACGCGTCATGAACAGATGTCTCGAACAAAAAGGCTTCCTTGTGGAAATGTATTTCATTTTGGCTGTCTCCAAAGCTGGTTTGAAAGGCAGGCAATTTGCCCAATATGCCGAGGAATCGTCCACCGATGTTTAAGGTCTTGATTATTAAAAGGGGTCCATAATATGCTTTGAAATTATGTTAGCTGTGTGTCTGTCTCTCAGTCGAAGTACGTTAGATCAGCTTGGGGTTTATTTCTTTTATTTGCTCGCGGGGGCTACCAAAGAGCATACAGGTCCCAGGATACGTGCGATAGGCCACAAGTCACATGAAATGGCTCTTCGCACTACCTACCTCCTGATCGAATCATACTAGGTCTATTCAATTCTTGAGTAGTCTTTGACAAAACTCAACTTTCGACCCAATCTTTTGCCCAAAATCTTAAAGAAATCTTAAAAAGTCCTAATAAGGCAAGTCTCCTTCCTAATTAGGAAGATTATGCAAAAGGTTGGGTTGAAAATGGGTCCAAAAATGGGTCCTGGGTCCAAGGTTTGGACCCATTTGCGGGTTGTGTCAAAGCCTATTCTTGAGAACCAAAAAGGTGGCAGAGAGAGAACGTCACATTGAACGGGCACAACTGACATAAGCCAACCAAGGTGCGAGGGTTGGGAGGAGGGCTTGGATTAGAGGCCTGGGGAATATGGCAGAAAAATTGACATGGCACGGGGCTTGTCCTGGGCATCTAACCGATAGTAGACTGGGGGGGCGCGCCTGGGTATAAGGAAATGGGCGTATTGTGGGGCGGAGAGTGCTGTTTGGGAGATAGTCAAAGAGGTCGCACAGCAGGATAGCTCTTGGTGGTGTTGTTACGGACATCAATGCCACCTTCGCAAAGGATCTACTTGAACAGTGATATACCAGTCCAAAGCGCAGTGTCTGACAAATGATGGATGCTTAAGGACAGTCGAGGTAGGGGACGTATAGAACGCGGCCATTTCCTGGAAAAAGCTGCTTGCGCGCGATATGTTTGAAGACTATTTTAGTGAGAAAATGATATCGCTCGGCTTGACTGACCTGTATCTGCAGTGTCATCCAGGGTAATTGGCCTTTGCGCATGTCGCTCGGGCTTGGATAGAAAAAAGCGTGCTTAGGCATCAGATCCAGCCAGCGTATATCCAAAGACACCGCAACAGTTCTGACGGTGCTCTTGATGCAGCGTCGTGCATGCCTGGTTGATTCATTTTCACTTGTTCGTTTCCGCTTGTTAGCCGCACCCGCTGGAATACGTCGACCGGCTCAGCAAGGCGGAGGATCAGGCGAATCTATCGGACACCATCTCTTTGCTCGTGCTCCCTAGTTGACTCGGCTATGACTCGACACCCTACCGTCTCCTTTTATCGATTCGTACCTGATATGACCAATGTTCAACTGTAGGCTCGAAATAATGGGGTTCCGCCTCACCTTCTCCTTGCACGCAGACTTAGACTCGCAGCCTGCTCGTCGGCGAAAGTACGTCTCGTCCGCCATAAGCCAGACTGAAATATGGGCTCATCCCGGTGCCTATCGAGCTTTCAGACATCAAAAGATGTGAGATGCGAATCGAGGATAATGAGGATCACCCATTGGACGTCAGGAATTTGATCCACAAGGAGGCTATTCTTTCGCGGTGTTCGAATGCCGAGACACGGCGGTATAGGCCCATTGTGGCTTGAGCCTTGTATCGGGTAGACACATCAGCACATGACTGATGCACAGAGTCGACCGAGAGAAAGGGCCGAGACGATCTGGACCTTACATTGGCTCATCATCGATGCTACCAGTAATTATGTGGAAACGATAGACAGCATGCGATCGCATCGGTATAGGGGAGCTCGAGCAGACATGGCTTTCGCTTGCTTCGCATTCGACTCGAGTGATGGGAATATAAAGGGCGTCCTAATTTAGGATCAAAGTCAGCAAGGCTCACCACTTGGACGAGTTGGTATGACTCACCTGTTCGTAGAGTTCGCAGAATGCACGCTTTGTGCGCTTGAAACGAGACGATCAGTGAGCTTCGTGGTAATGGACTTGCCAAACAGATCACTTACAATCCTCTTCGGCAAAGCAATGCAGCACCATTCATGCCATGTTGTATTTTGCTTCGTCGCACTCTCCGGCCGTTGCTTTTCCAAAAGGCCGGGCTGTGGACAAAACCACTAGCATTCCTCGGTCTTTTGGAGTTCCAAGGATGAAAAGACGCGTGATGCAAACCGAGGACAATAAGGATCACCCATTGGACGCCAGGAATTCGGTCCACAAGGAACCCATTCTTTCGCGGTGTTCGAATACCGAGACAGACGGTGGTTTAGCCCATTATGCCTTGGACGTTGTATCGGTAGACACATCAGCACATTACTGGCGCATAGTGTCGACTGAGATAAGGGCCGAGACGATGTGAACATTCCAGTCATTCCTCGTTCATGCCACCAGTGGTCATGAGGAAGGGACAGATAGCTTGCGACCGCATCGGTATAGAGGAGCTCGAGCAGACAAATCGCTTCGCATTCGACTCGAGTGACGGGAATATGAGGGGCGCTGTTGTACGATCCGAGTCAGCAAGGCTTACCACTTGGACGAGATTTTACAACTTACCTGTTCATTAAGTTTGCAAAACGTTCGCTGGAGACGAAACGGTCAATTAGCTTCGTGCTCATATCTTACCGACGAGATAACTTACAATGTCTTCATCAATGCAGTCACCATTCATGCCGTGTTGACATGATGTTGTATCCAGTTCGTCGCACTCTCCGGTTGTCGCTTCGAATAAGCCGCGCTGGGTGCACCGGGCAACTTCTGAGAGCCAAAGACGCGTGACGAACCACCTATGAAAGGAAAATGTACAGTCGTAATGGGATAACACCTCGCGAGGGGGACGGCGAGAGATTCATACACTCCGCCGTTCGTGATGTGGAGGCGGTGAGGTCGACACGCAAGACGCGATGGGCACGCATCGTAGTGCCACCTTGGTCTTATCTGCGATCCGGCGATAGGACT